AGCGCGAAAGAGAACACAACGTATTTACTCGGAATTTGAACTCGGTTCTTTCCAGTTCACGATTCCATTTTTCTGGGTTTAAATAGACTGCAAAAGGCTGATAAGACATAGAAAAGGAACCAATCTCTCTCTTTCTCTCTCTCATACGTACATCCCCTCCCATATATATATATATATATATATATATATATATATGATACTGAAAGTTTTCGAACCGATTCACCTCTCAAAGTCTAACTTGTTTTCTTGGTTGGTCTGAGAACTTTTCATTACTGCTTCATATATATTGAGACAGAAGGATAGATAGATAGATAGATAGATAGATAGATAGATAGATAGATAGATAGAAGTGACTGAGTGAGTGGGAGAAAGAGCTATAAAAAGAGTGGGGAGAGACACCCGATTGAAACGGTTATCATATCTATCTATCTATCTATCTATCTATATATATATATATATATATATATATATATATATATATATATTTTTTTAACTATAAAGAATAGGAAGAGTGGATACAGAAAATAAACGCATTCACAGAAGGTGTCCGTAAAAAGCGGGAAAACAACGAGTAGACATGAGAGAGAGAGAGAGAGAGAAAGAGAGAGAGAGAGAGAGAGAGAGAGAGTAGGATAAAATCAGACACTGAAAAAAATGGTGACATGTTAAAAAGGTGATAAAAATAGTAAGAGAGAGAAATATCTTCCAGAAAAATGACCAGGGAATAGAAAGTATCAAAATCTTTAACTGATGTATTTTCCAACAGTTCTGCCGCTATCCTAGTTCCGACAGAGTTGCCTTGTTGCTCCTTTGTCTCTCTCGTTGTTTATTCAGTTAATGGTTTCCTTGAAAGTTGGCGTCGAACAAGCTTCGGTCAGTCGGTTAAAATAGATCAAGCTGTTGTTAATGTCCTTTTTCATCTCATTGGTAGCGTTACTCCTTGCTCTTTTTCTTTCTTTTTTTTTTTTTTTATCTCCCAGTGGTCTCATCAGTGGCTCGACTAGACCGGAAATCTTTTGGGAGCCTGTGAGATGCGGTCACTTTAAGCAAAGCAGAAATGAGCTGTCCTGAAAGAACAGAACTGTATTGAAGCCGTAATGTGAAAATGATGTACTACGTCTCTGTCTATTCAATCTTAACCTTGTTGTCCTCAAACTCAACCCTATTTTTGTTTTCTCTTCCTTCGGATTCGTATTTTAGACTTGGCTTATCTAACAATTTTGCCAATAGTTTATTCAAGAAGTGAAGAAACCAGTACAAAGATGTTAACGTATTTTAACAGTTTTCACGGGGTATTTTCAATATTATTTTCGTTTGAAGGATTACTTAACTCAATCATTTAAAACGGATTTATATGTAATTTAACGCTTCATTCAGTAGACTGTGATTTTCTAAGCGTAGCTTAGATATGACAGGAGGACGAAAGTACGGCGTACCTAGTGAGAATCGAACTCACTATTCAGTCGTAATGGATTGTTAGAGAGCTGCATTTATTAAAATGTTGTACTTTGGATTCCATAAAAGGAAAACATTGATGACAGCTTGGCTGATGCTAACATCCAGTCAAGTGACTCGGTGCACCTTCTCGGGCTAACTTTCTCAGCTGACATGAAGTAAAAAAAATATATTAAATCCATTGCTAGGTCAGCTGCTAAGAAAGTCATGCGTGACTATTTTTCTCTACAGAATCTATCTTACATATCTATAAGTATACACGGCACGGTGGAGTAATGGATAGCGGCTTGGATTGAGGAATCGGAGAGCCGAGTTCGAATTCCAGTCGAATCCATTACATTAACTTACGTGCTAACACCCTTGGGAAAGGTGTGAATCCTCTTTCTTCTCCCTCATGCTATGGGTAAGTAGCAGGACAGACTGGGTTCTATAGCCTTGGATGGCAACTGGTCTAGGAGAAGGAAAACTCTGAAATCAAATTGAATGGAGTCTCTCTGAGCCTTGGTTGGCAATCCATTTAGTGATGGTGACACGATAAAAACACCCTTGCTAGCGAAGCATCAAGAATTCAGCTATTTGACAAGATTATGAACTACACCAGTCAAAGTGTTGGTGAGTTCAATCTCAGCTGAGGCCGCAAGATGATGATGATAATATTGCTATATGGTCCGGTGCTCCTGCTATTTACCTTGAGCTCCTTGATAAGATCCAAAGAAGAATCAGCAATATTATTGGTCCTGTTCTGGCGGCCCGGCTTCAGTAATATTGCCTCTCTGTGCCTTTCATGGTAAGTGTTCGGATGAGCTCTTCGCTATGGTACCTAGACTTTATGAAATTAGGCGCAGTACTAGACTGGCGTCGAGAACTCATCAGTTTGCAGTCAAGCTGGATGGATGTAACCGTAAGTTCTATGCTAACAGTTTCTTTTCTCGCTTGTGAAATTCACTTTTGGTTCCATGCTTTCCGGCTAACTTTAATGTGAAAAAAATTAAATGCAATGTCAATCGCTGTCTACTGTCCTCCTGATTACTCTTTTCTCTTTCTACTCATTATTAAGGTTTCTGTTCCTAATTCTTCCACACCCTGTAACACCTTGTGTTTTAATGGCTTTACTGTCTTGTGTGGGGTGATAACAATTTAACAAATAAATAAATAAATAATAATAATAATAAAAAACAGAATGTATGATCGTTCGAAAGATAAACAGTCTAAGTTTAGAGCTACGAACTGGAGACTTCAGAATCAAGCAAGTACATAAATTCAACTGTGTGTGAAATGTTTTAACAGACGATGGAATATGTGATACAGAAATCTAAAGGCGTATTAGTATAGGAAAAGATGCTTTTCAAAAGGAAGAACATTAAAAAGGATTATTAACGAATGTAAAAAAGTAAATGTTCTTCACGAGGAGAAGTGATCAAGTTACAATAAAAGGAAAAAATAAGACTTGAATTATCATCTTGAAGAGTTGCATTAATAAAAAAAATCCGTTTAGTTGTAAATATCAACGTTAAAATTGTAATAAAAATCTACAGCAATAAAGGAAAACAAAACTAAAAATAGTGAGTTGGTCAAAAAATTCGTTCTCTGTTTGCTATTGACTGTCATTAAGAGAATTGTGTTATGATGTTATTAAGTATCGATATATATTGGAATATAATTGTCATTCATATCAACTTGAATTTAAAAGACTAGTTGGTAAAATTAGCTTATTATGCTTTTTAAATTAGTTTCAAATTCAAAAAGTTGTAGATGTTAAGAAAGGTAAAAATAAAACTCAAATGATGAGGAACATATTAAAAAGGAATAATATCTTGCTTGATGCTGGTTCACAGTTGGAATTTAGGAAAATTCGGTAATTGAAGTTTCGATAACGGAAGATTCGGTAATTTTGACAAGAAAATCTGGTAACTGATCATAAATTTAAGATGGGACATTTACCACCTTTTTGCTGCGAAAAATCATTGATTTAGAAATTCTTGCAGGAATCAAAGAATTGTCGCATTTCAATGAAACTTTCAGGATTTATACACAAATAAATGAAATTATTTTTTCAATGTTTCAATCTTGGTAAAAAAAAATTTTTACATTAGTTACCTCCACTTATTTAATTTTATGAAACTTCGAGAAATTCCTTTTTTGTACCGCTTAAAGTTTATATTAGTCATACGCAGAACTCTTTCGAGAATTTAAATCATCGATTTTTTGTTGTAAAACTGGACATCCAGTTACTGAAAATCTGCTCTGAATCGTAAATAAAAATGCACGAAAACTAAGACAATGTTTAATTAGAAAATCGCTTTTAATTGCTTTTACGAATAAGATATATTTTGGACACTAATGTCTCAAGAAAAAAATTTTCGATGAGTAATGAATTTTACAAGAATTGTTTTAATTAGAATAATTTGTAAAGTCTTAAATCTTTTAACATTCTATAGTAATTTATACGATTTATGTGATTTTATTATTAGGTTAAAATTTATATTAGGTAACTCCCCAGTATTTTAAAAAGAAATTTGAATTTTTTGTGCGAGTATCAACGTGCCGATTTTTGTAAAAACGGTTGTCCATACACGACATTATCAAAAATTAAGAGCGGCAACTATAGTAAATTTAAAACCAATTTAACTAAAATTCAATAAAACATTAGACTACGGAGAATATTTTCCTAATTTTTAATGATTACGTGGTAGTTAAAAATTATATAAAAACGGAGCTTATGTTATATTCTTCAAGTAATTTTTACAGATATGTCCCCCCCACCCTTAAAAACTACGGAGGAGATATTTGTAAAAATTATTTGAGGAATTAGTTAAATTTCTGGTTGTTAATCAAGCTGTCAACACTTTATATAAACACCTATCTACGTGTTAAAAGTACTTATGCGATATTTTAAATTAAATGTAATATTTTGATTCAAATCAGGTTAATTAATCTTTGAATTAGTTAATATACCTAAAATAAAGTTTCAGAAAGGTATATCTTATTTTTGAAAGATTTTTTAAAGACAATTATATTATGCTGACAGATAGTTAAAATGGCTAAAATCAGCAATTTTTAAAGATTCAAAAAAATCTCCTTCCAGTCAATTTAAATTAGTTTTGAAATACAGCAAATTATTTTGTTTATCGAAAATATTAAATTTAATCTATTAGTTTGAAATTAAAACTAAAGTAAAAGCGTCAAGAAAGAATTTTAATTTTTTAAAATTCATTTTAAACCTTAGTTATCACGTTTCTTTAGAGGTAATTACATTATTATGAAAATGGATTCATATTCAAATTAGTCATTTGATTCAGTAGTCCTAGCATAGAAATGAGTACCACTCGGGAACCATTAATAAATAAATAAAAATCTACAGTAAAATTTCAGCAGCGGCAGTATGAAAAGAGAAGTGGCGACGAAGGAGGTCAAGCGTGAAAGCAACATAAGTGTCAGAAGCAGGCATGTAATAAGGACATTAGGTTTAAATCTCCAAGTTCTAGATTCCAGATTCTCCTTCAAAACAATAGACAAGTGGATTAAAACGTTGAATCGTGAATTTGCTAATACATCGGTTCTCGTGCGATAACCGAGGTTAAGCGATGTCGGGCCTTGTCAGCACCTAGATGGGTGACCCTTTGGGAGTAGTAAGTGCTGTAAGCGTGGATGTGTAAGTGGTGTAGTAGATAATGGCTCGGAATTGGTAATCGGAGAGCCGAGTTTCAATTCCAGTTGGGTTAGTTTTATTAACTTACGCGCAAATAATCCTTGGGAAAAGTATGAATCCACCTCTTCTCCTCCCAGCTATGGGTTAATTAGTAAGGTTTGTATCACTAAATCATTATTATCTTAAAAAAATTCTTACAATCTAGAAGTATTTAAATAACCTGAAACAGTTGATAAGCTGTAAAAAAGAAAAAAATCAAATATAGTCGAAATTTACTAAAGGTTACCAAGATCAAAGAAAGCTGAAGAAGTAGGGTACAATGACCGAAACATTGTAATAATAACAACAAAGATGAGGACATTGACCTGAATGTAAATAATGATTCTCAGACATTTGAAAAGATAAAGTCGTCAGATGTTTTTAGCGGCTTGTGTTAAAGTGTGAAATAAAACGAGCAGGCTTCTTTGTCCTTTGACTGAATTCTTTGTATGTGTGTGTGTTTGCTTGGTTGGTCACTCATCCAGATCGAGTCGCCATCAAAATGCCCAACGGGTTTAATGGCCGCGCCGGATGTTCAGATTATCTATAATCTGGTGAAAATATCAAGCGCACTCGTTAGTGTCGAACTTTATTCCTTACCCCAAATAGTTGCTTTCTTTCGTCTTTTTGAAAGTGTGAAGAAGAAGTAATGAAAACCGGTTAAACTGAGACAGATTTTTATATCGCTCGTGAGCCAATTTGTTGGTGTCAGTTTAAACGGTCCCACTGGAAATCTTAAATCAATAATAATCTCATGGCTTAAGAAGAAAACTCGTTGATGTCTCTCCTCAGTAATATTGTTTCCTACAAGGCCACCATATTAGGGACACCCAAGTTACAATCGAGCACAGTAGCAAATGAACTAGTTTTCTAACTATGGCTTCTTAAACGACAGGCGTCTGGTGTAAGGTCGCTGTAAAATTGTTATTTATGAGGTCGGACTGGAAAGGGGCCAACCATTTCAATATTGTCGAAAACAAAAAATACCCTACTTAGGCTGATGACACCTAAGTCCACTTCAAACTACTCACTTTGGGACTTCAGATATATATTCCAGTATCCTTTCCAATTATCAAAACAGTTTGAAAATTCCTATTTAGGGATCGCCATCAGCTGTCTAGCCGCATTCTGATTATTCTTCTACACGGTTTGAATTTTCCAATTTTCAACGGCGGTTTTGGCTTTGGGAAAAAGCAGTAGGGGAGAGATTTGGATTGGGGGCGGGGGTAGCATAATTGCCTGAGACGTAAAGAATGAGAAGTTTGGTTTGGTTTATTTTTTTTACGGCATATCAACCTGAATGGGTTATTTAATGCCGACAAGATTTTTAGGATAGGTTCTTATTAAGAGAATACGTATTCTTTGGAAGAAATCAGTTTGTAGATCAGGTTTCATTGACGTATTTTTACAAAGAGGGTTTTCGTCGAGAGTCAAATGTATTACCAGTAATATTTTTCTCAAAAATGTATTGCTCGTATTTTTACTATAAAAACCTACTTTTACACTTTCCTAGTGTTTTGTCACCAGTTTGAGGGTTGAGTATTTTCTCATAGCTGGGACCCTAACAGGTGCTACCACCCCGAGTCAGGGTGGACCTGGGAAAATCAGTAATTAAGAGGTGGAAAGAATGAGTTGTAACATTATTTCGATGAATGTGATGGTTCTACAATACACAAGCATACTGCCAACTGAGTAACACTATTGGAAAGTTTATTTCATATTATATTTTTCATTTTACACTATAGTTCACCCAATGAAAGTCCCAAGAGCCACTCAAGGTAGTAGGTTACTGAGTAAGGTGTGTGATATAAACGCAAGAAGAGGAAGTAGGAAAAAGATAAAGAAGAGAGTAAGATTGTAGTGTTCTGGAGGGCATCCATGAATGAGTCTGTTCTACAAGATAGAGATTCTCGCGAAGAGGCTGTTTGAGTGGAACTTACTTTTTAGCTATGGATAACGAAGATGATAATGATTCAACCCAATGGATGTGGCATAGCGTGGCGTACCTGTAAATGTCTAAACATTTTTTTACAATGATGTTCACCCTGTATAAATCCTGAGGGTCACTCAAGGTAGAGGGATACGGAAAAGAGGCACAGCTTATTCGGATATGTGTGGAAGAAAACGATTAACTTTAGAATTGGACAGGATAAGATTTTAGCGATCGAGGAAGCATACTCTTGGGAGTTTGTTCTATTAGAAGTTCATGAGAAGAAGCTGCTCGGGTGAAACTTACGTCTTACTAAAGAAATACAAAGGAAATAAGTGTGGATCGCTATAATGTGCGTGGCATGGCGGGTCTTAGTTGTTAACTAAGAAGTGTACTTCATCTGAACACTTTCTATGGAAATAGAGTTAGAGCAGCGAGAGGCTTGCGGCGTCTCGTCTGTGAGGAAGAGATTATAGGGTGTAATGAGAATAATTCATTGCCCACAAAGTCGCGGAGACGCATTTGGATTCTGTCGAGAGTGAAGACTGGGCAGCTGGTTGAACTAAAGAATATAACTCGTCGGAACATTTGCCATGTAAATAGCGATGGAATAGGAATACGCATTCGGATAGTCGCCTGTGAGAACGGGGCTTTGGGACTGAAAATAATTATTCGCTCACAAGGCTACGTAAACGCTTACATCTGTGAGGTAGAGACTGAAAAGTCCTCAAAATGTAAACAGACCAGCGTTTTTTTTTAATCATTTCACCCCATACAAGGCAGTAAAGCCACTAAGACACAAGGGGTTAATGGGTGTGAAAAAATAAGAAAAAACAAAACAAAAAAGAAACATTAAGGAGAGAGAAGAATAGAAGAGAAAGCAGGAAGAAAGTACATAATGATTGACATGGCATTTACATTTTTAAAGATCAACGTTCTCTGGGAAACTAGTAACCGGAAGAGAGTTCCTCAAGTTAAGGAAAATAAACTATTAGCAACTAACTTATAGTAACATCTAACCAATTCAACAGTAAATTGATGAAACATTTTTGCCAATTTTGTACTGCGCTAAAGTCTAGGTACCATGGTGGAGGCGTATCCGAACAATTACCATGAATGTATTTACAGAAATGACGCATGGAAACTGCATTACGGTGGTGGGAAAGTGACTGAAGCCAGGCCAGGACCAATAATATTGCTTATTCTTCTTTGGATTTTATCAAAAATCTCTAAATATATAGCAGGAGCACCGGCCAATAAGAGGAAGCTAAAGTTAAAGCAGGGACGAATGGAAGACTTATAGATATGTAAGATAGATTCTGGAGAGAAACGATTTTTACCACGACACAGTGAGCCACCTTTCTAAGCAGCATACCTAACAATTGATTGAATATAATCTATCCACTTCCTGTCAGCCGAGAATGTTAGCCCAAGAAAGTTCAACGTGCCACTATCATGAAGGTTAGTATCAGCTATGCTAATGTGATGCAGGAAGGGGTCTTTCAGATGATGAACAGAGAGCGGTTTCATTTTGGAATCGTTACAAATTAAGAAGCCATTCCTTGCCCCAGTAAACAACGTTTTTTTTTTCATTTTTTAGATGCTTTGAAGAAAAACCTGAACCGTTTTAATATCAATATTCATTACATTTATTAGGTGAATAAATTGCATGAGAATATGTTTCATGTGCCTAAGTGAAGCCAAAAATTAAACAATAATAACTTTTGTCCACATGTGACAATAACTAAATAACGATAAATAGTTATTCTTCTTCTATGTGCCATGATCCTTTAGAACGTTGGAAATCATGGCACTCCGCAATTTCCTTCCCCTTGTAGCTCTTAATAAATTTGGTCTTTTTAATAACTTTCCTAAACCCTGTTCTGCCATCTATTTACTGAAGTTCGCTAGATCGGTTATGCGTTGTTTTCTTCTGTCCCTCTCTCCTATGTGTATCAATTTTTCCAAGCTCTCTTTCCTCATTATCTGCCACAGAAATTTCAAATGTCTCTTCCTGGTGTTAAGTATAAATGTCATTTTTGTTTCCATTTTCTCTGAATCTTCATCGTTGCTCATATATTAAGTCCATGTTAAACATGTCAACACCCTTCAGTAGAACCACATTTCTGCTGCTTCAAGTCTCTCCTTTATTTATGAGGTGATTGTCACGCATTCACTGCCATATAGGTGGGCTGATATTACGTAACAGTTCAGTACTCGTTTCTTTGTTTCTAACGAAATCATTCTGTTTATCAATATGTTGGTTAGTTTTTGAAAAACATCTTTCCCTTTCCAAATGCACCTTCAGATTTCAGTGACGCACTTTGTGTCCTCTGTTAAAAAACTTCCCAGATCCTTAAATTGTTGTATTTTGGCATCTGCAGTTTGTAATTTGCATCTTGCACTGTTCCCTTTGCTAACAACTATGTATTCTTTTTTCTTGCAATTGATGTTTAGTCCTTTCTTCTCGCTTTCCTTCAGTGTCTTCTTTCTTTCTTTCTTTCTTTCTTTACTTCTTTTTTCTTTATCTTTCTTTTTCCATGTTTACTTCTTTCTTTTCTCTTTTCTTTCTTTCTTTCTTTCTTTCTTTCTTTCTTTCTTTCTTTCTTTCTTTTGTTACTTTCTTTCTTTCTTTCTTTCTTTATTTCTTTCTTTCTTTCTTTCTTTCCGTACTTCATGTTATTTTTCTTTCTTTCCTTCTTTCTTTCTTTCTTTCTATTGTTACTTTCCTTTTTCTTTAATTTTTGTTTGTTTTTTTCTTTCTTTCTTTTTACTTCTTTTTTTTATAACTGCTTCATTTTTAAAATAATTTTAAGGCCATTAGGAAGCAAGGGGCTACTGGAAGTGAAAGAGAAAGAGAAAAATTTAGTGATGAGAAAGGAGAAACAAAAAATGGGATTCAGAAGACATAAGATGGCGATTGGCGTTGTATTTCATTCTTTCTTTTTATCTTTATATTTGTTTGCTTCATTTTTCTTTCTTTTTACGTTTGTTTCTTTGTTTGTTCGTTTGTTTCTTTCTTTCT